CATCATCATCATCATCATCATCATCATCATCATCATCATCATCATCATCATCATCATCATCATCACCATCTTCATCATCAGAACCGTCACCATCATCATCATCCGCATGATCATTAACGTCATCTTCACCATCATCATCATCAGCATCATCCTCCGTATCATCATCGTCATCAAAATCATCGTCATCATACGCAACATCAACATCATAATCATCATGCGAATAATCAATATTACCTTCGTCCGACTCATCATCATCATCATCATCATCATCATCATCCTTATCATCATCCGAATCATCATCATATTCATCATCAACATAATCATCCGAATAATCATCGGCATCAACATTCTCATCAACATCATCACCAGCATCGTCAATATCATCAATTTCATTGTCATCATCAACATCATCATCATCGTAATCATCATACTCATTATCAACAACAACGTCATTTTCGTCATCATCTTTATCGTCCGGATCATCATCATGATCATGATCATTATCATGATCATCATCCGAATCACCGTCATCATCGTCAACATCATCATCATCATCATAAACATCAGCATTCGTGTCATCGGCATCATCATCTTCGTCATCATCATCATCATCATCATCATCATCATCATGAACACCATCAGCTTCCTAGTCATCATAATACTAATCAACATCATCATCATCATCAACACCATCCGAAACATGGCAATCATCATCATTATAATCGTCATCGTCATCATCATATTCATCATGATCATCATCAGCGACATCAGCGTCATCGTCGTCATCTTCATCATCATCATTATCATACGAAACATCATCATCATTATCATTATTCGAATCATCAACTGCCGAATCATCATCTTCTGTATGATCAACATCATCATCATTATCACCATCGTCGTCCTCATCATACTAATCATCATCATCCGAATCATCATCATCGTCATCGCCATATTCGTCATCATCATCATCAACATCAACATCATCTCCATTTTCATCATCAACATCATCATCATCATCAACCGTATCATCATCATCATCACCACCATCATCATCATCATCACAATCAACATCGTCATCATCATCAGCATCATCATAAACATCAACATTATCTTCAGCATCCGAAACATCGTCAATGAAAAAACCATCATCCGAACAAACGCCATCATCATCATCATCATCAACATCATCATCCGAATCATCTTCATCATCAGCATCATCATCATCCGAGTCATCATCATCATCATCATGGTCATCATCAATAACACCCGCATCATCATAATCGTCAGCTTCATTCGAATGACTATCATCAACATCATCGTCATCATCATCATCATCATCATCCGAATCATTATCATCATCGTCATCATAATCACCATCACCATCACCGTCATCATCATCATCAACATAATAATAATAATCACCATCATTATCAAAAGAATCATCATCAACAACATAATCCGAATAAACATCATCATCATCATCATCATCATCCGAATCATCATCATCATCATCATCATCATCGTCATCGTCATCATCACCCGCATCATAATAATCGTCAGCTCAACTCGAATCATCATCATCATCGTCATCATCATCATCTTCATCCGAATCAACATAAGCATCATCCTCACCATCATAATTATCAACATCATCAGCATTATCATCATCATCGTCATCACCATCATCATCAGCGTCGACAGCATCCGAATCATCATCATCATCAGCATCCAAATCGTCATAATCGTCATCATAATAATAATTATTATAATCACCATCATCCTCGTCATCCGAATCAGCATAATCATCAGAATCATCGACATCATCATCAACATCATCATCCGAATCAACATCATCATCATCATCATCATCATCATCATCATCATCATCATCATCATCATCATCATCATCGTCGTCATCATCATAATCATCATCATCATCATCAACATCATCATCAGCCTAAAAATCATCATCATCATCGTCGTCATCCGAATCATCATCATCGTCATCATAATCCTCGTCATCATCATCATCATCATCATCATCATCGCCAAAATCATCAACATGATCATCACCACCGTCACCATCATCATCATACCCATGATCGTCATCATCACAGTCATCGACAAAATCATCAACATCATCATCCGCCATCATCATCATCGTCAACAGCATCCTCTTCATCAGCAGCAGCAGCAACCGAATCAGCGTAATCTGCATCATCATCAACATCGTCAACGGAATCAAATTCATCATCATCATCATCATCATCATCATCATCCCAATCATCATCATCATCATCGTCATCATCAACCGAATCATCATCATCCGAAGCACCATCATCCGCATCATCATCCGAATCATCATCCTCATCATCAACATCATCCGAATCATCATCATCATCATCATCATCATCATCATCCGAATCATTATCATCATCATCATCAACATCATCATCATTTTCATCATCATCATCCTCCGAATCGTCATCACCATAATCCTCAAGATCATCATCATCATAATCACCGTCCTCATCACCGTCATCATCATCATCATCATCTTAATAATAATAACCACCATCATAATCAAACGAATCATCATCAACAACATCATCCGAATAAACATCATCATCACCATCATCATTATCATCATCATCAACATCATCATCCTCATCATCAACGTCATCATCATCATCATCATCATCATCATCATCACCATCATCATCATACGAATCATCTTCATCATCAGAATCATCGACATCATCATCAACATCATCAACCGAATCAACATCATCATCATCGTGATCATCTTGATCATCGTCATCATCATCATCATCATCATCACCATCATCATCGCTACCCGAAAGATGATTATCATCATCATCAGCATCATCATCATCATCAACGTCATCATCCGAAGCAACAT